AACGTTTCGTTGTTTACAATACAACATCTTCAGAGCAATCTAAATGAATTTACAGGGTATGGTACATATATTTACAAATAATGGTTTAATAATATTACAAAAACGGTTACATAGTTTGAAAGAACAAATGAATAGAAAGCGAAGAATTGTCAATTCCAAACATTCGAATATTCAATTCACACATGAACTTGAAAACAATTCTTCGCTCCCTTTTCTTGATGTTAACGTAATGCGTTCAAACGGCTCATTCACGACCTCAGTCCATCACAAATGCACTTCAACTGGCTTATTCACAAACTTTGATAGCTTAATTTATTCCAATGATGTACAAAAAAGGTCTCCTTTTCTCTCTTATATCTCGATATTTCAATATTTGTTCTTCTTACATATCTAAATTTTCAGTCTGAAATGGAAAATTTTAAGAAAACCTTTTCTTCCAATGGTTATCCTAAAGTACTTATAGATAGTTGAATAAAGACATTTCTTGACAGGATTTACAACACCAAGGACAAGGTCCATACATGTTCCAAGAAAATTGTTTACTTTTGCCTTCCTTTTCACTGGACATCATGGTCTACATATCCGTTCACAGCTTAGTAAAGTTCTTGCTTCTGCTTATCCACATATTTCCATACGTGTTGTTTTCCGTCCCTCTTGTCGCCTTTCTAGTTTCTTTCCATTTAAAGACAGGATTCCCATTGCCCTGAGATCACATGTTGTATATCAGTTCACGTGTCAATGCTGTAGCGCATTGTATGTTGGCCAAACACGCCGACACATTCACACACGTATCTCGGAGCATATGGGAGTCTCGCCTTTGACTGGAAAAGAACGCTCTATCTCAACCATGTCTAGTATACTCGCTCACAAACACATGCACAAACACCCAGTCTCCGCTTCTGATTTCAAAATCCTATCATCAGGCACTTCTGAGTGGGATCTTCTTATCCGTGAAAGCCTATTAATATCTCAACTTAACCCTGTCCTTAATGCTAATATTAGATCTACCCCTCTTGAGTTATTTTAGTTATGTAATATTAACCTTAACTATACTAACCATACATTAATCTTTACTTATATTAACTAGTCATTGATAAGTTGTTTTCCTTTCTTTCTATTCATTTGTTCTTTCAAACTATGTAACCGCTTTTGTAATATTAAACCATTATTTTGTAAATATATATACCATACCCTGTAAATTCATTTAGATTGCTCTGAAGATGTTGTATTGTAAACAACAAAACGTTAGCTAATAAATTTTTTACTTTTATTATGTTTGGATTTAAAGTTATTTGCTGGGCTCTGCTCTTTATCTTTAAACTAAGATTTCCGCATGGTGTATCAATTGCCACAGTTTTAAAGTTAGTTTAGTTTACCTGCAGTATATTCCCTGTTTTCAGGTGTGTTCAATGGTGGTTCAGTCTAGATAATAAGATTTATTTATTTAATAATTTATCAATATAAGTAAAGAAGTTAAACTTACTTATTTCTTATTTATTTGAAAAAAGAGGTTTACAAAATATAATTACCAGCAAGAAATAGTGGTCTTCAGGCTCAGCTCGTAAATATTTAAAAATACATTGTTCCCAAAATCTCTCCTAAAAACATTATGAATACACAATTTTATACATATACATTTATATAACATCCGGTTCTGGTCTTTTGAGGGTTCGATGTCGAAATCATAATGTATTAAACCTATTATTATTGTAATTATAATGTATTGAACTATTATCATACCATCAAATCCCAATCTTCTACAATACCATGACGAATTGGCCACTAAAAATACAAATAAAATCAAACATGTCTCCTCAAAACTACAAATGCCAGAAAAGTGTCACAGTATTCATTTGCTTTTTAACATAAGCCACAAACCTTTGTGCTATACTGTGGTTTTTCAACTGCTTCATCCCCAATGAAAAAATCTAACACAAGTACAATTTTAATCATTACTATTTTATGTAGTGTAAACTATAAAGCAATTTCTTTCAAAATAAGATATACTGTATACAATAACACTTTAATGATATGCGGCAATAAATTATACAAGTGTTACAACAGTTTGATTTGTATAATGTCATTGTTATTAAGACATTACAACCGTAGATACTGCTGCATTTTGATATAGCACAACAATAACGGAAACAAATTGGTGAGATAGCAATTTCTTTACCTGCCTGCTGTGCAAGCCCTAATCCGGACCTAAATCCAAACCCTTACCATAAACTTAATTTAATCTGAACCTTAATCCTAATCCAAACCTTAATGCTAACCAAACCTTAATCCTAATCTTAATCCTAACAGTAGCCCTAACCATTTAGGGTCTCCAAATAATTGATTATATAATTAGACTTTCAGGGTGTTAGCCAGAAGTAAAAAAAATCAGTGTTTACCTGAAATAGGGAAATTTATTTTAGCCTGGGGGCATGCTGTTGCCCCCTCTCGATTTCTAAAATTTTTGTGTCTTTGTAGTTTTTAACATGTTTCTAATGGCATATTAACAACATTGAATTTCTATAACTATTTTTTGGCTGACCCAAATTGGGAAATTGCGTCCTCAAGATAATTGGGAAAATCGTGTTTAACGCGGAATTTTTGACTGTAGCTAACACCCTGACTTTGTACATATACTTTAGTGGACCCTAATAAAGACAATAATAGATTAACTAATCAGCCAATCCCAACTTAACATAACCTAATCTTAGCCTCAATCCTAACCTTTTAACCTTACCATATATAGATCTAATTTAATCTTAACTTTGATCCTAATTCTAACCCAAATCAGCTAATCCTAACATAACATTAACCCTTACCCCAATACTAATACTAACAATACAATTAAGATTTTAAAACAAAAGTTATGCACCAATGTTGAGCCTAGTTCCTATTTCGTCATCAAATCGCAAATCATTAAAAAAACAGCTGAAAATGTGTCATTCATTTTAAAGATACAAGCAGCTTCCACAATCATAAGCTGTGTGAACATCATTCCTAGTGTCGGTAGAGTGCAAATGCATTCATTGCACAAAGAACTGTTTTATCATGTATGAACACACACAATCATCTAATCCCAGTTTCCATTAAAAAATGATTGCCCACACCAGCCACCTATCATCCCATGTCATATGGACATAGAACCCGACAATCAACATCTGATGGTCATCCGTGCATGTTTCGTTTGATTGCTAAGCATAAAAAGCTTTTCCAATGATTCAATGACAAAATACAAACTGGGCTTTATTATAACATGATTTCACAACATTTATTATTATATGGATTTCAAGTCATGCAGTAGTTATGTGCACATACCGAGGTCCTCCACACCCTTTGTTGTTCTTCTTTGATTCTTGTCACCAACTTTGGCAGATTCTTTTATTGCTATGGCTATTGTTCATGAAATAATATTTGTTATAAATTATTCAATTAAATTCCAGCAAAAAATTTTTTGAAATCAGATTCAAATTTACCTGATGGCAAGATAAACTGTGGTTCCGTATTCCCAGCAAAGCCCATCTTTGTGTAACTATTTGGAAACAATGGTAATAATTACATTTATTGGCATGTTAATTAAGTTGCAACGTGATCGAACAAAGGCATCTGGTATGGGGTGCAGCAAAGGGAAAAAATCCTTTCAATTGGAGAAATTTTTAAGTAGGAGTTGGACAAGAATTTTAACAACAGGGAAGCAAGGGTTTTATGAAAAATAGGTTCCCTAAATACCATGCTTTAATAAAATATACAGACAATAGAACCTCCAGCTTACAGCCACCATGTTCATATTATGGTAACCTTTTTATTACACTAGTGCCTAGCAGAAAACATGCAAGAACCCAAACTCCAGGTGCCCAAATTCATAGGCTCATATGGGTCAGGCATTCAGAATGATTCAGATTACTAGAGATAAGACCCGACCTATGCGAGGCTAGCTGATAATATATATGAAACGTCTTTGCCAGTGTAGGTATTGCCAATCAAATGAACAAGCTTTCGTTAGTAGGGATGCAATTACCTGAAAAATTTTGAGGGAAGGCTCTTGGTCTGGAGTTACTAGTCGAACGTGACGCTAAAACGTTGAAATTCTCCTTATATTTTTCAGGTAGTTGCATCCATACCAACGAAAGCTAGTTTATGATAATATATATATCATATATGACATGCAATGCATGGTGTTAGATTGGTCGAGATAATAACGTTTCCTAGTAGCAATAATCTTTTGCAGTTTTGGATTCTCAAAAAATTTAAAAAACCTCATCCTATGGTTTTTTATGATTTAATTAACTCCAGTGCAAGTTCCTCTTGAGTACCACTGACATTTTTTAATCAGAACCCCAACATTTTTTCTAGATACGGCCTTGTTTTAAAAAACTAACACTGTTTAATTAAGACACCATTTATCGGGAATTTTGTCAAAATTTAAAGACGGCTCCATACCCCTATATGACCTTAGGCACAATAAAGGTACACCCTTACTCTTTCACAAGTGAGGCAATATTTTGTATGCCTAATATAGTAGGAAAAAGTTAGTAAGAAATAACAAATACGTTTGTACCATGTTGGATGATTTTAAAAACAAAAAGATATAATAACTACCAATTATCTTTTACATGTGAAACTAGGCAGTTAATGTATGCATTCAGAAACAATTCAGTAACCAATTAGATATAAAATGACACGACTATTTTAGTCTATTTATACTTGGTCTGAGGCCACAATATTTTTGTAGGAGAGCAGGGCTTTGCATTAGCTTTGATTAACTATTATAATGCTAAATTAAATATACAATTGTTGAAATTAATAAAATAGAAAATTCATTACTGGTACAAGTAATATTTAATTAATATTAAAACATGTACACCTCCTAGGCTTTTATACATTAAGGTTATTTTGTGGTCTGCAATACAACAATTAATAACATTCGCCAAATTTTTGTTTAGTCCATAAATATTCACGAAAGGGCAACACTATAACCTACACCACTACAAATATATAGCAAACTACAAAACAAGCAACTAAATGACAAGTTCAGCGAGTATACATTGCACGGAATAAAGTTTCTAAGTGTTGGGAGTGCTTCCCGGAACAAGCCGAAATGAACAAGAGCATTCAACTTACCCCGTTCCATTGTCAATAACACAAGCGGGCAGCCTGCCTTGAATAGACATAATGTTAGTACACTTGTTTAGGCTTACAATTCCGTGCTTTGTTAAAAAATAGAGTAATTCTCCAGGAAGATATCAAGCAACAAGTTCGAGCTAGTCACTCCAAGCGGAAGCCAGACAGCAAGATGGCGACCAGGAGGGAGGGATCCAGAGCAATGTATTGTGGGTAGACAAATATGGCCGCTCAAGCAAGAGGCATTTCCTTTCAGAAATTAAACCTTTTTTTAATAATTTAAACCGTTCCTTACTTCCTTTTAAGTACTTTTACGAAACAGTCGATAGAAAAGTAGGGAATTCTAGCTATATAGACAATTGCTACCGCTAATACACGTTTACTTTATCACGCGAACGTCATGGACTTGCCTGATAACTGTTTAAAAGACAAGTTTTCGAATTGATTCGGTTTCATTTTCGCGAGAAGAAAAGCGAAATTCTATCTTGCCTTAAACAGCACTTCCTTGTTTTGATTATTCATGCTTGCACTACTAATTAATTCGCAGTAATCTGAGCCTGAGGAGCAGGGCCGCCGAGGGCTTGGCGGGGGCTTGGAACAAATTTTTTTTAGGGGCCCTATTTCAACATTTTTTCCGGAAATTTTTTTTTCGTACAATCACCACCCCCCAACCCCCCTCAATTTTTCATACAAAATTTCGGTACTTTGCCAAAAAAAACCCAAATATCTTGCTTTTTGCGCGGAAATATTTCACCCAAAAAAATGACTGGGGCCCAACAAAAAATTTCTAGGGGACAAATAATTCGTGGGGGCCCGGGGCAATTTGCCCCCCTGCCCCCCTCTCGGCGGCCCTGCTGAGGAGTGCAGAACCTTCATTATGTTGATATGTTCAAACTTCAAACACTATCCACAGTCACGCACTAAACAGCAGAACACTCCTACGAAATGTGAGAGAAAAGCTGAAAGAGACTTGCATGCGCACGGCCACTTTAATTTCAGAGTCTAGTTTCCATGTGTTTGTATAAACTGTCGTAAAGATCGAGTCACGATCTTTCTCAACTTTTTTACCTGTAAACCACATATAAATCATAAGTATTCTCTATTTATAATAACTCTGCCTATTATCAGTGTGAAACTGTTGTATTTTAGCTGTTGAGAAAGATCGTGACTCAATCCTTAAGCCGTGGGCAAACTACCAATGTTTCGCCATGTTTCCAAGAGTGGGCAAACACTAGGAAACATTAGTGAGAAACGTAGGGAAACATCAAATGTTCTTGAATTCGCTAGGAAACGTTTTTGCTTCTCGGGAAGGAAATTTTGATCCCGCAACAATGTTTCCACGGGTGAGCAAACAGGGAAACATTTGAGGAAACATCGAGAATCACAAATGTTTCCACAACAACGTTTCCTAGTTTGCCCAGGGCTTTACGACCGTTACGCCCATACTTTATATGGAAACCAGGCTTACAAGAAAACAAGGCCGAAAAAGTCAAGTTCGGTGATTAATACGTCCAATAACCGGCTGCTACGCAGGCTATAGATCCAGTGACCCGTGATTTTTAGACTTAGACATTTGGCAAGACCCATTATGATGTGGCAAAGTTGACGTTAATCTCAGTCTAGGCGTAGCCAGCCTTTCCGGCTCGCCGCTTTGAATGGCCAGGTTTTGTCAGATATGCGCACCCTCAGGTGATTGTACGTCGTCAAAGGGAACGTTCAGTATAGACCGGGGGGGGGGGGGCATAGCAATGTCAGATCACTAGACATTTATTTGCATTTCGTAACAGAAGCTGTGGATTAGGCAAGGATTAAATGCTCGGATTAAATTACCTCTAGTTGCCATGACTATACTACGTAAAACAAACCATATTATTTATACAATGTGTTTTGGCTATACAAATGCTAACTATATAACGAAAAATTTAGGTTAAATAATTGAACCTCATGAGACGTATATTCTACGACGGACGACCAGAAAATGATGGTCAGTTCTATTGGTTTCAAGATAACAGAACGGGATGCGAGAAGCAGACAGTATATTTTGAAAGGATTAGACAGCTCGATTCAGAACTTATTACAAAGGAACAGAAACATTTAGTTGGTGCGATGGAACGTTTAAAACAGCTCAGATATCCTAGACGGAAGCCGATTGTATTAAACAAAAATTGGGACGAACGAGGGACGAAATATAAACAAAAATGGAGATTTGAAAAACATGAGCATATGGCAAAACAGAGCGAGAAATCAGCGCTCTCTTTAAATGCAAAACAAATGGAAATCTGTGTTGAGACCAAGGACGATAGAGCAAATTTGAGACCAAAATTTGAAAGCCCACATAGAAGCATGCCACAATCAACGCCATCATATGAGCAGCCAGAGCAGCAAACAATCCAAATAGATTACTCTGTAACAAATATTTATGATAATAAACCACACTCAAGGAAGGTGCAAACATATGATATGCTATTACCAAGCCTGCCTTGTATACCAAATGTGGGACATAGGACGAATATTGAGAATGAAAATAAACTAAGGATATTAGAACTGGCGAATGGAGAATTTCAAAAATGCAGACTTTCAGATGCTTCTAATAAAAGCAAGAAGAGATTAGGCGGCGAGAGAAGGTTTAACTCTAAACCCACGAGTGGAAAGTTAGAAGAATATACTCCTTCAAATCAGAGCGATACTTTAACACCTGTTTTGACAGCTGTCGATGAAACGCCTGGTGAAAAAGAGTTCAGTAAAAGTTTACATGAAGAAAGTGTAATTCGCCAGGAAATTGGAAAGTCTGAAACACAAACAAGGAATTTCAAATGCGATGTTGAATGTGAGACGAGCAATGCAAGACAGCCACCGCCAACCAGGAAAAACTCACATATAACAACTCCGGAACCGAAAGACAACAGGAGTAGCCCATTATGTGTTGCTATTAAAAGTTCTAGCATATGATCTATTGAGTTACTGAACATGGGAAATTTGACATTGGAAGTTACCGAGTATTGTTGAAAAACAAAAACATACTCCGAATATCAACATCTATGAGCTAATGAAAACAAGACACAAAATTCGACTCCATGTCAAAGTCATTGTAACAAACATATGTTTGGTTTGCACTTCCAAGCAGCCATGTTAGAGGAACGCTAACAAAAGAATATTAGGTTATAATTCCATAACCTACCCTAGTACCATAGTACCCTAGTACCATAGTGCGCTAGTATTATAGTACCATAGTATACTATAGTACTATAGCACCACAGTACAGTAATACTGTGGTACCATAGTACTGTAGTGCCATAGAACTGTAGTACCACAGTACCCTAGTTCCATAGTACTGTAGTAACATAGTACTCTAGTCTCTAGGACCATAGTATATGCTAGTACTGTTGTACCATAGTACCCCAGTCCCATAGTAATCAAGTACAGTAATACCATAGTACTGTAGTACCATAGAATGTAGTAACATAAAACTGTAGTACCATAGTGCAATAGTACCATTTAACAATTAGTCGCCCAAGGCGAGGTGATTACAAGCCTATATTCACTGAGCCGAAGGCGAAGTGAATATAGGCTTGTAATCACCGAGCCTGAGGCGACTAATTGTTTTAGTATAAATTTCCAGGTGTTTACAGAAAATAATCCACACAACTTTATAAAAATTCACTACAAATAAATTTATTTTCACTATAAATAGTTTGTTTACAAAATTTAAATCTCAGACACGGCTCTGTGTCGCGTTGCGACTAAGCCAGTTGTTTTCCAAATAAAAGCACGTAAAGTTTAATATTTTACCTTGAAATATTTTTAAACCATATTTTGTAGCTTGTTTGGGTTTTTTCGGAATGCTATCTTCTTTAATTTTGGCAATTTCCTCCTCTGTTACTACGGCAAAACGAACAGCCATTTTGAAAAAAAAGCTATAGTCACTGACCAGTGACTATCACTTCAGAGACAGTCAATCTTGACCAATCAGAATGCAGAAAAATCAATAGTCACCTGGAAATTTATACTAAAGTGCAATAGTACCATGGTACTGTAGTACCATAGTATGCTAGTACTGTTGTACCATAGTACCATAGTAATCTAGTGCAGTAGTACCATAGTATCCTAGTACAGTAGTACCTAGGTACTGTTGTACCATAGTACCGCAGTCCCATAGTATTCAAGTACAGTAACACCTTAGTACCATAGTACTATAGTACAATAGAACTGTAGTACTGTTGTATTTAATTAATGCCTTTGCATTATATGTCAGCAATATGCAAATTAGGTAAAAGCTGATTAAGCATGCAAAAGGCTGATTTTTTAGGGAAAAAATGAGTAGTTAAAGGTTAAACTAAAGCAAATTGTCTGAAATTTTGTACAGTAATGAAAAACCCAACAAATTTTCCATCCATTAACTTAAAATACGATTAAAGCTTTTAAATTTCGTTCGCAAGCCATTTTTAGTTTGTTGGAAAAGAAACACCCCCTGGTTTACACAATTTGAGCTCCCGTATTTTTTTTCTTCATTATTCTACATTGTGGGTACTCGAGGAATCTATATATAACAAAAACTTCATACCACGAGCTGTTTTGCGAAATTGAGAGCAACTTCAAATCTGTTCAGTTTTTTTTATACACCCTGTAGAGTCGAAATATAACCTTGAATTTTGTGTCTTATTCTGAGTTGACAAATATCTAGAATTTACGAAGCTGCACATTTTAACAGAAAAAAACACAATCTATTACTCTATATAGTATTTCACAAGTATTTCACAGATTATTATTCAATAAACAGTAAAATTTCAGTCAAAACACCGTATTGATTGATCTAAGATAAATTAGTCTGGGTGGTTGCGGCCAAAAACTAAAACGCCTGCTTTGCAGGCTATTTTTATATAGATGTTGCGAACTATTGCAATATCTCAATGGATAAAATCGAATTGATTTCTAATAAGTAGGTTTCATTATGTGCAGTTGTCTTGTATATTTGGTGGCAATAAATTGAATTGAGAGATGACTGCTCTTACAATTCAAATGTTGACCAGTGTATGCTGTTACTGAAATCTATCAATACCAATGAACTCTATAAAAACTGGAACGATAACTCCGGCTTTGTTTTTGAAGTCAAAGATGGCGGAAATTGAAAGGCCGCCTGTTTTGTAGGTATGCCCCAGGCCGCTACCAACCTCGTATCCAGGGTCTTTCCTCTTGTGGAGAAAAGACCCTGGTAGACGCTGGTCACGTGATCTGCTAAAATCTAGCAGATTTCTAATCAACTATCTTGGATTCCTTTACGACAATCATACAAAAAGCAAATTATAAATTAAACTATAAAAATTATCCAAATATCAAATATTTATTGACCTCATCTTGGATTGCGAATTAAAAAATCTGCTAGATTTTAGCAGATCATGTGACCAGCGTGTACCAGGGAGGGTCTTTTTGGGAAACATTTTCATGTCACGCATTCACGAAAAAGGATTGGTTAGGAGGTTAGGTTTAGGAATGGGGATTGAATTAGGTTTTGTGATTGCGTGACATGAAAAGATAATCGTCTTTTCTCCCCTCGCCAAGAGGAAAGACCATGTAACATGTACGAAGTTGGACCCCTACGCGAAAATTCACTAAATTCAGTACGAAAAATCGGCATCATTTCATGTAGAAGTTTCAAGACTATATTTTAAAACTATTTCCAAGTCCGGCTTTACCGAGGCCCTAAGAAACTAGAGCAGGTGGTCTTTCAAAATAATCAAATTTTAGAAACACTTCATTATAAATAAACACGTTATCTGACGAGTGAAAAACATGTTCAGAAAAAACCCCGCGGAGAAACACCGGCAAACGTTTGTTTTTCAGGAATGTGTATGAGGGATTTGAAATGAACACAGAATAATATGGACTGCAGTTACACCAATTAGCCATTTCCCAAAGTCCTGGGTCTAATCGCGCAAATCCCACGTTGGAGAGACAAGAAATATGGCAGTACACATTTAAATTTTTAAAAGTTTAATACAAAAAGAAGATATTTCATTTTCGGCCGTCTAAAAAGTTGATATTTGATAGTAGATACTTCTACTCTTTCACCTATTTGACGCCTGTCACCATATATTTTGTCCCTCCAAACGATCCCAGAATGCACTGTGATCTCTTTTGGGAAAAGGCTAATTATACCTTTTCATATAGTTTTTAGCTTTTAAGTGGGGTATTTAAGCCCCGTTTGTACGAGCAAATTTTATTTGACAATTTTCATATGTCAAAGATACTTTGCTCGTGTAGATGATACATTTGTGATAAATTTATTGTGACAAATGCATTCGAACAAAAGCTAGCATGCTAGCTTTTGACTTTTGATCAAATGTATTTGTCATATTAAATTTGTCAAATAAAATTTGCTCGTGTAAAGGGGCTTTATAATTACCACTGAAATGAGCATTTACGTGCAAAAATTGAAAAACATCGATCGGAAAACCGCGAAGGCCACGCGGGTGTTTTATACCTACAAGCGCATTTTATCTGGAGTTATCGCACCTTTATTTTATACAGTTCAATGATCAATACCTAATGCACGGAATCCTCATTTATCACACCACAGCTAAGCCTTAATGATACCGGTACATTTCCAGAACGCCACGGCCAATGTGTGTTGTAATACTGTTATAAAACTATAAGTATATTATTCATCGTCAAATCGCATAACCGCATAGTTACCTCTAGCAAGTGTCTGTTATTATTGTGATAATGACCTCGGTAATAGAATGATAATACCTTAACCAAACGAGAAGTGAAATTCGTGTCCGGGAAAGCCGCCGCCTTGGCGTCGTCCACCGAAGTTTGAATGAAATCCACCGACACCTCCGCCGAAGAACGCTTGGAATATTGTATTCGGATCAAAATCTTTAACAAGAATAAACACAACAGTTTCAAGATGGCGTCACTAAGATTGAAATACTGTGCAAGATTTGCATGGTGGATGTGGACGAATTCTTACCAATTATGTTTTGACTTAAATAAGAACAGCTAAGGGGCGGACCATCAGAAAAGTGATGGGGGGGGGGGGCTTTTTCAACTTGTACGAATATTTTTTTTTAATTTTTTGCTTGTGTCGATAATTTTTTTAAATATAATCGGTTTTCTAGAGGTTTTTCTCCGGGCCTTCAATTTTCATTCCTTACCACAAACTAACCGTTCCATTCCACCTTAATGTGGGGTTAATCATGGGTCACAAGTGCCCCACGTTTGAGTTTAGCAAGGATAATTGCTTCCCCAACCTTAGCTTTCTGTAATTAGACAAGAACATCTATAATTCTTCACCTGCAGTTGAAAATCCATTTCCATCTATATCTTCGCCTCTGTCATATCTCGCTTTCTTCTGTGGATCTGACAGAACACTGTATGCCTCATTTACCTGCAGATGAAAACATTAACTTAAGATCATCATTGTTCCATGCTAAACAACATTTGCTACTTGTATATAGTTATACGTAGGTTTTATTTTTTCTTGTCGTCATGCAATATTACCACCATCGCTTCATTGAAACTCGTGCATTTATTTTATTTTACAAGATTCGCCACACACAAACCAATACCACTAAACCATTACACAATATTATATCTCGAACTCATTAATAATTTATGAGTAAATTAGCCAACCATATTGCTTTATTTTGCTCTGGTGAAGTATATTGATCCAGTCCGAGGACTGGACTAGATTTCAAGTCCAGTCCAGTCCTCATAGTCGGATTTCAAATATTACATAATTTACACATAGTACAGGCATGCAGGGACTGACCACAGAGATAATCTCCATGCAATAACGGGGTCCCACATTCTTGGGGAGTTTCAGTATAAGCGTTCTTGGAATAACACAAGAAAGGGAAAAGTATACCTCTTTGAATAACATTTCCTCGTCCTTCTTCACCTGATCACTCGCCCCTGAATGGCGATCTGAAAGAAAGGAGGCACTGTTGTCGAACCATAGAAGGCTTTCAGTTCAAAAGACCAAGCAATGTAAGGGCGTGTTGACACAAGTCTAACTAATCGAGAAACTGACCAGAGTGAGATCTGCATGCCCTTTGTAATAACGCATATAAAATTCAATTTGTGTTGATATGAAAAACGAGCCAGCCCAGCTTGGCGAGATCCCATCTTGTGCTCATTTCAAGTGGGATAAAATTTTCCATATGAAGGCTGTGTAAAGGGTTCGTAGTCTCCAAGACCAAAAAAATTCAAAAACTTTCAAAGATTTTTTCTGCCTATTTTCAAAGACCTTTGAGAGCAACCAGCTGTCGAAAAAATGCGAGTGTAAGCACCATTTTTACCCAGTAATTAGTCCCGTCAAATCACATCCTAAAATATACCTTTTCGTCGATATTTGCAAAAATCTTGCTTCAATCAATCTATTTTATTAGCCAGGAAATCGTATAATCAATTCCTCACTAAAGAATTTAAAGACTTTTAAAGACTTTCTTCGCTTTTTCACACAATTTGAAGACTTTTCAAAGACCTCAAAGACCTGCATTCCAATTTAAAGACTTTCAAGGATTTCAAAGACCGCTACGAACCCTGCTTTATCCCACCTGACTGGAATAGACATTTTTGGCCGATTTTGACCTATAATATAGTACTGAGCAGCAAAGTTGGAAAATACAAACAAAAAATAAACGATGCTTGTGATGTTACTCTGAGTGTATATCCACACCGGGCAGGCTTGAAAAATATGCCTGGCCACGGTGGGAATCGAACCTACGACCTTTGGAATACTAGCCCAATGCTCTGCCAATTGAGCTACGCGGTCAGGTCGGTTCGAGTATGTGAGATTTCGGAACAGAATCTATTTCCTTCGATATCAATCAGTGTGGATATACACTCAGAGTAACATCACAAGCATCATATTCACCTGAGTACATTACACCAACACAGAAAAAATAAATATTATACTGTCGTTCCAATTGAAGTGTTGCTCAAATATTGATTCAATTACATTACCTCGGGCTGACCAATTCATTTCATCAAGTTCCTCGAGATATTCATACACTTCCTAGTAGAATTGTAAACTTCCTGTTGAATAGTTTGAATGCACCAATCACCTTTGTTGTTTGTGCAACTAACCAATCATAAATAGAAAGGAAGTGACCAGAAATGATCAAATACTTGGAATTGGCTCTTTCACAGGAAGTATATGAATATCTCGAGGAACTTGATCAAATGAATTGGTCAGCCCGAGGTAATGTATTGAATCAATATTTGAGCAACACTTCAATTGGAACGACAGTAATAGATCTAAACAGACACTGTGTGGACCTGCGATTCGCAGGTTCCATTCCTACCAGAGGACCTATAGTTTCATTTTTCGCAGCTGTTCCTGGTTAGGTGTAAACCATTACAAATAAAAGTAATATAAAACACATTTAAAAACACGCGAAAAGCTCTTGTATAGTTGATACGAGTCATACGACAGGAAAGGCAGCAGTACTATTCTCGCTCTAAAGTAATTAATTTACTTTTATTAAAACAAATTTACACGAAATGTTGTCGTCTTTTCAACAGTACAGTCTGCAATCCGAACCGCTGACGACGAACGTATCTGTGTATAATAATTTCAAATTGATAGGATTTTTTGAGTAGGATTTTCTCTTTTAATATAAAATAATAAGTTTTAGTTCTTAATTGATAATGCTGGTGTGTTTCTTGCTTTTGTGTGAAAAAATGCAGTGGTATAATTAAAACTTGAAAAGTGTTATAATAAAATAAAGTTTATTAAGCACTAGTTAAATATAGTTACACTATTAGTAGTGTATAAGTCCACAAATGTCATAGATTTAAACTTCAATTTGAAATAAAGTTAAACTTCAAATGCGTATTCAATGCCCACTGGCATATTTAGAATTTTTTGAAGGAAATGGGGGTAATTGCTCCTGATCGGCCAGATTTTTATTTGATCGGCAAAAAGTCCTCATTGCCGATCACCATGATCGGGAACGTTGCGAACGTTATTTCGAGCCCTGAAATGTATAAAATTCACAGTTGAAATATCCATCAACAAAAATCACTGCCTCAGTCTGCCTGTACTGTATATCATACCTGGATGGTGTTTTAATGCTTCTCGTCTGTACGCTTTCTTGATTTCCGAGTCGGAACAGGTCTGTGACAATGAAAGTGTTTTATAGTAATCTTTTCGTTTACTTTTCTTCAACTCTAGCTTCGCCTCTTGAAGTAAACTTTTATGCTCTGTCAAATAAGGACATAAATGTTACCAGACATAGTACTACAGCGCGGTGCCCTGGAGCATGCGCGAAACAAGTGCACCACAAGCCCGGAGACATATTACTTTTGAATAAATACCAAGGCTTATGATTCCTAACAAACTAACAGACAAACAAACGCACGCAGCGAGAACAAAGCGTTGCCAAAACTCGTTTGGGCACTGCAACCTATCTACCAGCGTTATCTCGCTCGGGTTTGATTAGCCTGCAAAGCAGGCGCTAGGTACCAAGCCCACAAGCGCCTGGTTTGCAGACTAGGGTTTGACCTCTGATCAACACTCATCAACTCTGGGGAGGTTCAAGTATTCAAGTCTCACACAAATGTTGCTCTCGTTTGACCGGGATACGAGGTGAGAAAACTCTCATGCAAACTCTCAATTCTCATCCTCGTTTGACCAGGAAACACTCCTATGGACATATGCATAATACAGGAATTAAAACCTGACCACAGAGATGACACATGCACCATACCATGACACATGACATAAAACCGATTTAACATCTATGAGCTGGGGGCCTTGGCAAGATGACTGATCGTTCTCAAAAATATATCAACGCACCTCTACAGCCATTCATTTTGCACACTTTTTCATAGTCTCGAACTGCTTCTTCAAATTTCTCCGTCTCCATGTAACTGTTGAAATTGGTACAAAATAACCTATCTCAAACGTGGAGTCCAGATACAAACCACGGCAGCTTATTGCATAAAATACTCCCTACACTGGGCCCCATGTTTGAGATATCTTTTTCAGGTAATTCAGACACAAATCAGGGCAGCTTACTGTAGAATACTATCTATACTGGACCACACGTTTGAGATATCTTTCTCAGATAGTTCAGACACAAATCACGGCAGCTTATTAAGTACGTACGTAAGAAACATAATTGAACGAGGGTAGCATTCATTACTGGTTCCCCAGTAGTTTACATAATGGCCCTCATTGTAGAACACGTTTGAGATATCTTTCTATAATTCAGAAACAAACTACAGCAGCTACACTGGACCACCACGGTTGAGATATCTTTTTCAGTCTATTCAGATATTTCCGACACAAACCACGGCAGCTTATTGCATAAAACACTCCCTACACCGGACCCCATATGTTTGATATATCTTTTTCAGGTAATTCAGACACAAACTACAGAAGCTTACTGTAGAATACTACCTACACTGGACCACCACGTCTGAGATCTCTTTCTCAGACAGTTCAGACACAAACCACAACAGTTTATTGTTGTCTAATACCAACATCATTTCAGCATGTTTAAAGAACGAGGAAAATATTTCTGTCAGACGAATACTGTAGCTCTAAATAACCACTGCGATTAACGCTTAATTAATCTGCCAGGCTCATGGGTTTTCAAAATTCTCATGAAGTAGTCAGTTGGTACCATAATACAAATGTTTCCCATACCATTTTGCTCGTTTCAAATAAGCTTTTAAATAACTTCCATCTAGATTTATCGCTTCTGTGCAATCATCTATAGCTTCTGTCATTTTACTTAACTACAAAAAAATACGGAAGGAAAATTTTTCAAAAGATGGATTTCACTAAGCACTACCGTGCAGCAGCTGGTGGTCAACCTGCAATTATCTGAGAAAGAAAATGATATGAGTTATTTTGTTATATGTAGTAGTTTTGTATTTGAAGGCAAATAAATAAAATTGAGAGATGCATAAATAGTTTGCTTGCAACAGTCCTGAGGTACTTGAAAACTTTGAAAGAAAAATCAAGAAGTTTAAAAGACACGGGTACACGGCCAGAAACGCGCAAGTTGCAGCAGGTCTGCAAATTGACAACTTGCAGTAAGCCTGATTTTCTCAATCGATCTGATGTGTTCATCAGACTTGCTGCAAGTTGTTCTATCAGGCTTGCTGCAAATTGACATTTGTAGACTTGATGCAAGTTGTTTCATCAACTTGCATCAAGTCTGCAAATGTCAACTTGCGGCAAGCCTGATTTCAATAGGCTTGCTGCAAGTTGATGACGTCAACAAGCCTGCTGCAACTTGTTGACAACTTGCAGCAGGCCTGCGAAATCCACAACTTGCAGCAAGTCTGTGGTGTTTCTGGCTGTGTAAGTTGTTCATAAAATAATAAAGTTATTAAAACTAAATCTAAGCATTACCTTAGATGCAACGATTCCCCTATTGTAATATAATTTTGCACAAATTGTAACATTGTTAGGATCAATTGCCAAAGCTTTCGAATACAAATCATACGCATCTTGGAAGTTCCCCGTCTTGTAAGCCTCGTTTCCGTCATCTTTGGTTGACTTTAATAACTTTGCTTTCTGTTTTAAAACGAAAAATATGAAAATGAGTCAATTATTGTTCCATTGTAATAGTTCATACTGGATAGCTTTATCAGTTGAAAACTGTTCTTCCTAAAGGTCCAGTAAGAGTCGCGTCTTATTTATCCTGTATCATTACAGGAGGAAAACTAAACTAACTCTACAGTGTATTTATACTGGATAGCTCTATCAGTTTTGAACTGTTCTTCTTAGAAGTTCAGTACGAGTCATGTCTTATCGATCCAATATCATTACAGGAGGAAAACTAAACTAACTTTATTTATACTGGATAGCTCTATCAGTGCTAAACTATTCTTCTTAGAAGTCCAATAAGAGTTGGAACCTAAACTAAACTATCAGTTCTAAACAGTGTTAATAATGTTAATTCACTCATGACATTATGCCAAGCGTCATATAAACTGTCTTACCTTCCGAATCGCTTTTGCTTTTTTATGATCAGGATCAATTTTTAAAGCACTGGAAAAACACTGAAATGCTTGCTCTTCATAATCCTAAGGGGAAAATATCTAATGGTAACCTGGTATATTTTGACAAACAGAGGTAGAACCAACTTGATTTGGAAGGGCTGAAGATCTGACTGTGATAGTTCATATATCACTTGTGTAACTACTGGGAAAACTGCAGATCTATTTAACAAGGCTGTTATTGCAGATTTCAAAGGGGGATAGTGGACATTTTATAAGCGAGGGGGGGGGGTCTTCACAGGGGAGGAGGTATTGGTGAATTACAGTGGAATGGGGATGAGAACAGATACTTCACTAGGAGGGGGAACACTTACATTACAGACAGAGTTAAGGTGGACGCTACTCCACCTTAACCGTAGCAACCGGGGGGGAGGGGGGCTGGGGGGCTGCAGCCCCCCCCCAATAATTTGCTAATAATCATTGTTTTTTCTAAGTCATGCAGACCTTTATCATTTAATCCATGACAAACTGCAAAGAATGAAGATATTACCCATACTTTCTTGCAACTTATCCAATATATAGTTAATTATAGATATGCCTTCACCTATTGGTCCTATTTAGTACTACTAAAATTGTAAATTTCGACATAGTAAAATGCTGTTTTGTGACCATCAGAATTCTGTCAAATCTTCCCCAAAGTCCAGGAAATGGCATTTCAGTGACTCTAAATTTAAAAATTTCCTCGGGGTTTCAGCCCTCGCTTTCAGACCCCCCCCCCAATCGAAAAGAGCTTCCTCATTTAATGCTTACTTTCAGTCTTTCAATGAGACTTTTTAAGATAACTAGGGTCGGGATTCAATCGATTTTTCTTTGACAAAAAAAAAAAACGGAAAAAAATCGGGAAAATACTTGAAACTTGCAAAAACAGCGCGTGAAGCATAGAGTATTAGAGGATCATCGGTTATTTCAGATGTGTGTAGAAGCAAAAATATAATAAGACCGAAATATTCGTAATTCGCAAATGAAATGGCCGCCATATTTTTTTACCCAGTGTTTTTTCCACTATTTTATGAAATTTCCTTTTAATTTTCATAAGGAAATTTCCATTAAAAAACATCGTTTTTTTCGTGGGTTTTCAGACAGTGTTCAGTTTTTACCCTGAACTGTCCGACCCTAGAAGGTACACCCTTTCACATTGCAGACCACCTTTAGGCAAAGGTTTGCATCACTTACCTGATAATATAAGCATAACCCCCGAACATACAGTGCATCAGCATTTCTGTTATTTTCTCGCAGCATAGTGCTACAAAATGCAGACAATTCATCATTGTAACTATGTTTATACTGGATAGCTATATTAGTTCTACACTGTTCTTCCTAGAAGTCCAGTAAGGGTTATTATTATGGGTGTCCAGTAATGGATTACTACAGAAGGAAACCTAATACCAACTTTATTTATAGAGGATATCTGTCATATCCCCAACAGTTCTAATTCTGGTTTCTACATGCACCATCATCAAGTCTCTCTTTCATTGCCAAATAGTATTGATCCACTATAGTGTACATTACATAACGTGGCACGGAGAGATGGAGAGAGAAAAAGAGACTTGTCAACTTCAGAAAATCTCGGTTCAAAACTGAACCGAAAATGCAAGACTTGCTTTAATTGTTTTCCTTCAATTTCTTTCTGTATTATTTACTATAATGGAACTCATGTTATTTACACTGTGCCTGATCAATACATATAAACACCGACAGAAAACAATTAAGCAAGTCTTGTATTTTCGATTCAGTTTTGAACTGAGATTTTCCAAAGTTGACAAGTCTCTCTTTCTCATGTAATGTACACTATAGTGGATCGATACTATACAACAATGAAAGAGAGACTTGGAGCATGTCAGCTACCACACACAGACCCAAGTATAACATAGGTGATCTAAGACAAAATATTTTAACCAATGCCTTACTTGGCCTCAACTTCAGCTTCGCTATATTTCTTCATCAAAGCGAGAGATTCCGCTCTCAATACTTTGTATAAGTCACAATCAGGGGATAATTCTAACAGACGTCTGGTACAAAATATCACCTGAAACATGGATTATAGTATTTGTTTTATATAGGGATAACAGGTAATAATGCATTAAAGCTCAAGTAACAATATTATAGTACAAGAATTTACAAAACACTAAATGACGCAGTATGACAAACACCTTTCGATAATCTTCTTTATCGTGAGCTTCGAATGCGTCAGCTTCAAATTGTTGTATTTGATGAACTCTCAAATACTAAAATACATAAAACCATTAAATTGCCAGGGCTTGTAATAGCAGCCAATCAGCGATAAATGATCGGCAAGAAATTGTTTATGATCGCCGGAAAAACAGAGTTTTCAATCAGGAAACGCAGAGAAAGTCATGACTGCCAATCACCATGATCAAGAACTTTGGGAATCTTATTTCAAGCCAAGCCTGAAAATAAGCGATCCAACACGGACACTGTCCAACATGATGAAAAGGGCAAATGTCCGGCAAAATGCTTTTCTCACCGGACAGTATGTCTGGTACAGCGATACTGCTACAATTATATTGATGAAACATGAAAGATACATTAAATACTGTGAATATATCTGTTTTTAAAAGTAAGCAAAGCTAGCTATACAGCACACACTGTATTATAAATTACTTTTTCAAAGAACCGGTCATTGAAAATTTCATGTGAAAACTTTCCGTCATGACACGATTCACCACAGAGTGTCAGGCACAAATTATATCACGTCCCAGGTCAACAACTTGAGGTCAGACTTAGGTCGGCATTTTTGCCAACCTCAATTTTGATACTTTTCCGAGTGCTGGTATAATTTTTTTTACCTCATTAGCTAAAGTCTTATTATGTGGATCTATTTCCTTGGCCTTTGCCAATGCCCTTCCAGCAGACTCGGTTGAACCTTGAGCAAGATTACATCTTGCAATCCTAAAATATGCCTACAGGAAGAAAAAAATAATTGCCTCCAACAGGTCCATTACATCTGCCTCCCCCCAATCAATCACCACAAAAACCATTCTTTCTTTGTTGTTTTTTTTTGGGGGGGGGGGGTACACGTTATAAAAATGCAAACTCAACTATCATTATAAGAATTCACGAGACCATGATAAATCATGTCTTCGATGTGTGAAATTGTGCAAAATATCACCCCAAAAATGCTTGAAATTGCATTTCAGGGACTCTAGATTTCAAAAATATTTTTCAGGGACCCCCTAGTGTGTCTCATAGCCTTTGGCATGCAATAACAGAGGGTCTAGATGGGGGGTCTGAAAATCAGTAAACGGTAAAAGTTTTGGTATTTTAACGGCAAATCTTTGAAAAGTGTTCTGAAATGATAAACAGTATTTTTTTCCCTCACGCTTCATGGTAAATTTTTAGTGTTTTCACAACTGATGGTAACCAAAATTGAGTGAATCACGACTCACAATCACGGTGGACATAAAAGACAGCGAATTTGGCCAAGTACATATAACTTTCTCTCGTTAGTTTGGAATATCACGAAACTCCCTCACAGGATAGAACTTAACATTCCTAGAAATCGTATGTTTTTTGTTTTTCGATTTTGTTACATTTTGGCGGGAAAATGACGTGCCAACTTTGGCGCAAAAAAAATAAACACGAGCTAAGAACATGCTAGTAACTTTTTCGAAAAGATTGTCCTATAAGGATCTCAAAATTGTAAAAACATTAAAAATACAACAAGGCAGTGCGAAGATATGGCGATTCAAAGTTTCGAAAAAAATCTATTTTTAGTAACAAAATGGCTGATTTTTCAGTAAAAATATAACTTTGAATCGCCATATCTTTGCACTGCCTTGTTGTATTTTTAATGTTTTTACAGTTTTGAGATCCTTATAGGACAATCTTTTCGAAAAAGTTACTAGCATGTTCTTAGTTCGTGTTTAATTTTTTGGCGCCAAAGTTGGCACGTCATTTTCACGCCAAAATATAACAAAATCGAAAAACAAAAAACATACGATTTCTAGGAATGTTAAGTTCTATCCTGTGAGGGAGTTTCGTGATATTCCAAACTAACGAGAGAAAGTTATATGTACTTGGCCAAATTCGCTGTCTTTTATGCCCACCGTGGATATACCCCATCAACACCCTCATAACAGACCAAGCAAAAATATCCCAAGAATAAACCTGTGAAGATGTATTACCATTTTGAATTACATACAGTACTTATGGCTTTCAGGATCAGCTGTGATGTAAATATTAATGAATGCCTTTTATTTAATTTCATTATGAGAATTAGTAGACTATACCTTTATGTAATTTTCATCTAATTGTATAGCAATCTTAGCATCATCCAGTGCACAATTGTAATCTTTTATCATTAGATATGCCGCGGAACGATTTCCGTAATAAGGTGCGCAAGTCTTGTCCAGTTCTAGAAAGTTTTGTTATAATAAATAAAGCAATAGCCCATAAAAAATGACAGGTGATCCCTACTATGCTTCTTGGAGTTAATATTCCTACAGCCATTTATAAATACCCAATTTTTAACTCAACTTAAAATAACTGGCTAATTTATGTTCTAGTCAATGCACAATACTTTATTATTTGTATCGTAATACTTTATCAAATCATTTTTTACGGTGGAAATATATTAATTAACTTAATTTTATCTAGTACTAAGATCGTTTTATATATATGATAACTTATACAAGATAAAACGTTATACCAATAGCTTCAGAATAGAACTTTATAGCCGATTTATAATCTTTTGCCAAGTAAGCTCCATTTCCCGCCTCTTTTTTCTTCTCTGCTAGCCTTAAAAGTAAAGATAAAAATTATTTCCTCAATAAAATACGCATGTAAGCATGTTTTGACTAAATTTCTTGGCCGGTAAAAACGTAAATAACAAGCTAAAATAACGTTCATATTACGTTTAAAACTTACTGTTTACTGTCTAATTCTTCTTCTTCAACGCATTCTGTTATTTCGGCTATACTTTCATCCGACGAGGTTTCAGAATGCGAATCTTCATAATCCATTTCAACATTTTCCGAACTCTCGTCGGCCATTTTTGCTCCCCTTTCGCGGGAATCGCGGAGCCCACGCGTGACTTTAGAAAACGTGCACCTCACGCGGGACCACGTGTGTATGTCTGTTTGTCTGTTTGTTGAAGAATGTTTGTTATAAATACCTCTGTCGTCGGTTTGTCCTGAAAGGTTTGTTTGTACGTTCCTTTGTTTAATTAAGAGGGGCTGAATGGGGTTAACTGACTACAGGCATTTGCCTGAATTTTTGACTGACAACTGACAAAATATCCTAACTGACAACTGAGAAATGATGAAAAAATGATGAGTCAGCACTTTGCAGTAACTGACAGCTTGCATTAAGACCCTCAATTAACGCTGGTTTTCTGTGACACAATAGGTAAATTCTGAGCTTTGACGGATTGTAAGAAATGTTTGAGGGAACTGACAAATCCTTCAAAACTTAGAATTTACCGATGCAAAATTCCTACTGTGATCACAGAAACTTTAATGTAAATGCAAACCAGGATTTAGACCATTCTCGTACCCAGAGCCCTTCTTACGCGCGTTCGATTTAGACCTGTTGTCTTTTTTGTCTCGCAGAGAAAACACACAACATTGCATTTTTATACATTTTTTGATAGGCTAAAAAATATCCATGCGAATTACATATTTTCGACTACAACTACTAAGGTACTAAGATCTATTTGTAAAAGTATGTCCTACTTAGACTATGCATATCGATAATTCTTCCATATCCCAACATCTACACTCTACAGTATTGTGTGGTGTATTTTACTGCATTTCTAAACTTTCTACCATGACACATATTTTGCATCAGTTACGTCATCGCATATTTTTCACATTACGTCATCGCCGCCATATTGGATGAATTTGAAAAAAGATTTTGCTGATTACAGATCCAAACATCACCCAACATGGCAACACATTCTCTTTGTCATTTGAATTGTACACCAACAATACCATACTTGAAAAGCTCGCGTTAAGTTTTTTCCTACCATTTTGCTGGTGTACAACTGTCATTGCCATTGGTCAGTTAAATACAAAATATACATTCCATATACGAGTGAAAAGTTATCAAACGAAATAATATACGCAAAAACTAAAGTAAAATATATTCCTAATTAAACAAAGAACTTAAGTCTTAAGGAGCGCAACTAGATTTTTACGACAATTGTATATAAACAAGCACGAAAACAAAAAAGAAAGGCCAATCTAACATTTCGCTCAAGTTAGACCGAACCAAACAGTCACAAAAACACTCGTTATACTACGATCTGGTTACAAAGTGGTATAAAGTGAAAGGATAAAATAAAACGGAAATCAAAATTAACTGCTGTACAAATTGCTAACACTCCTCTTACATCACGAAGTCCTCGTCAAAATCACTCCATTGGAATACTACTTACATGCTGTTATTAATAAAAGCTAGTTAAGTCATTTCGGTGCTGGTATCTTACAAATCGGAGTCAAACCATTGTTGACCTTGTTGTTGATGTCCACCCATGTTGTATCCAAAGTTAGGATCATGGTTCATATACTGTTGTTGCGGTTGACCATACTGTTGGTATCCGGCATGTTGAGCAGGATAACCTGGCTGGTGCATGTTTTGTTGCATGTAGGGATCTATCTGATATCCTCCGTCCATCGGACCCATCATTTGCTACGAATAGAAACAATCGTGTCAAACGTTAAAATATGGAAACTTCGAGCGTATTTTCTCAGGGTGTCCACCCTTTGGTGAAGGTGAAATTCAAGGACTTTTCCAGGACTTTCAAGGCCCTTTTTCCCGTAAATTCAAGGACCTAGAACTGGGAAAAATCTTTGAAAATGGCACGGATTTGCCCAGCAAATAATTCACTTTATTCAGTAATTTTAATCAAAATCACTAATGTGCCAACAGCTGGAGTTTAAGGAAATTAATTCCAGGACTTTCAAGGACTTTCCAGTCCTGGAATTTTTTTCCAATTCAAGGACTTTCCAGGATTTTCAAGGCCCGTGGACACCCCGTTTTTTATACATTAGGGGGAGTTTAAGCTTCACGCTTGCGAGAACGGCAAACGGCATAGTCGAATTTTATTGGCAGGATTTTTGCTTAACTTCTTCGCTTCATCTTCTCGTTCTTATCTCAAAAGAATCATCATACACTACAGTCTTAAAAGTTAAAATAGCAACTTAATTTCCCATTTATTACCTTGTAGCGTAAATTTTTTCTTCCCCTGGCGTTTGCCATGTGACGTTTGAACGCGAAGCTTAAACTCCCCTATTTATTAGACCTAACCAGGATTCTTGCCAGAGGGCCTATAGTTGCATTTTTCGCAACCGACGCTGTTCCTCCTAGAGGTCCAGTAAGGAACTGAGGAACATCTCTTATTGATCCAGTGATACTACAGAAGGAGACCTAAACTAATATTATGTATACCGGATAGCTCTCTAGAGGTAAGGGTTTGTACTTAAAACACCCCATAACTCATTTTCATACTCTACCTCATTCATTTGCATATCATCCTTGAAGAGCGAGCTCAGTTCAACAGACAATCGTTTACGATAATCTTGAGGTTTATCTTCGGACATACGGAACAGAACAGCGGCAGCATAAGCAGCAATGCCTTCATTGGTTGAACGAAGTAATTCTGTCAGTGGTCCCGTTGCATTCTCTGATTCGATTATCTCAGCACCTTCCTTCTCTTGGGAAAGTTCACATAACACGCCCGCTGCCACACGCTGGATGTTCTCAATGTTGGATTGCAACAACTATGGAAAATTTATTGCAATGTACTTTAGATGACAGAGATAATACCCAGGGTACATTAGAGAGGTTCAGATTTGACTTCCACTACCGATACCATTCAGAGACCATTAACTAATCAAATGCATTTGATATATCCATTAACCAATCAGATGCATTTGATATATCCCATTAATCTCGATAACTCAGTAAACGAAGTAACTTTTTAATTTCTATATAACCAAATACCTAACTATATATAACCAACGTTTTGTAACTAAACCTACCTGGACAAATAATGGAATAACATTCAAGCTTCGAATGACAGCTCTGTTATTTGGTTCTCTTGCCAAGATATGAAGAGCACCGACAGTGCCTTCGACTATGTCTTCCATGCGAACACCATCTACAGCAAATGGTTGACCACCAGCTCTGCGGATATCTTGGTGTGCCTTCATCAACAGCTGTACCATACGAGGAATACCACCGTTTTCGCGGATAGCGGCATGGTTAGCAGGACACAGTGCCAAATTCCTGATCAAGCCTACAACTGCTTTGATCAAAGGCCAACGTGATGGTGGGTTCAGAAGTTTGATGAGTACTGGCAGGCCATAGTGAACACGGACTGCGTTTTGAGCCTCCTCTGCATCCTGATGGCGACTTGTGATGTGTCGAAGTGCGCATACCTAATTTGTGCAAAGACGTTTTAAAATCCGTGATTTGTCGTTATTTCTACTATCATCTACAGTTCAAAAGTTGAAATTCAGGGCTTTCAGAAATATTCTGGGTAGGTGGCTGTGTTGATAAAGTAGGAGACTGTGGGGAGTGGTCTGGGGAGTCTTAAAGTCATAAGTGTATATTGAGCAGATAGCAGCACGATTGAATTATGTAACCAAATTATAATGTACTGTATAACTACTTTCACTCGTCAACAAGATATCTTTAAGATTTAAGATGGCTTGTAAGCTTGTTGACAGGCGAGATCTCGGTGACTGGGATAATGTTTTTCTAATATGAACACAACTTTCCCGCTTAGCGGGATAACTTTATGTCGTGTCAGCAACTTTTCAATTCAATTGATGTTCAGTGGTACGTCACAACCGGAAACTTTACCCACGGATAACGTTTCTTATCTGCCATAAAAACAGATATACCTACCACTGGTTCAGTAATCTCTTCTCGCTCGCCAGCCTGGACACAAGTTCTCACCAATGCTTCAACCCCACCAACTCGGTAAACAATTTGTTTATTTCTTGGATTGTTACATGTCAGGTTTGACAAGACTCCCGCGGCACATGTGACAACTTGAACATCGTTTGACGATAATAACTGAATCAACATTTGAAGTAAATTGTCCAAACCATCAACACGAGTTGCAGCATCTGACATATTCCGTAATGTCCATAAACAATTCTGGACCAAACGGTTACTCTGTGAGCCAAGATGTTGAGCCAATACTTGCATGCCATTAGCCTGAAAATACAATGTTTGGTATGATGATTTTTAGTCATGTCGCTCACAAAAAGAAATACTTTTCTGTTTTTTTCAACATACAATTACAATTTTTCATTGTCTTGTGATATATTTGATTAAAAGTCCTCAAAAAATTTAACAAAATAATGAAAGCAAAAATAAGTTCATGGTTATGGTTATAAATGTACAACTGTAAGTTTTTCTACATAGAAAAAAACATGTTTATTTATTTGATTGGGATATATTAATTGTGAAAATTTTAGAGAGCATGCAAGAGCACACTCACCTCAACAATGGCAGGTTTGTTGCTTGAACAAACAGACAAAACTTTCAAGACTCGGCTTGTTGTGAAAAGCAATTTCTCGTAATTATAGCTTCGCATGATTCTCACAAGTTCTGCTGGGCCACCAGAGGCCAAAATGATAAGCTTGCTTTCTTGGTTGCCATATGCAAGCACGTGAAGGCAATCTACAAAACAGGAAGGAAAATATCCCTTATAAAGAATTGTTTAAAATGTACTGGTTAACTTGCATAGTTTAGTGTCCCAAGGACCTTGTCATAGTAATATCATATGTATTAAAAGCAAGAAATAAAAGTTGCATGTTGCATACCTGTAACAATAGCCAAGAATTTGACATTTGATCTGGGCAAAAGTGCAACCATTTTTTGCAAGCCACCAGCGAGGCGGACGGCCATCTTGGCACCTTCTTGGTGCAAAAGCAAGTTATGCAATGTCGTGATGGCGTAGAAAACAATTGACTCGACAGATGAACCCAAAAGTTTCACAAGAGCCGGGATGCCTCCAGATTTGAAAATCGACAGCAATCCTTGCCTAACAATTATGAAACAACACTGTTATAATAGTTTTGAACCCTACCTAATTAAATGTGATTTTAGTATGCTGAAACTTTTTGAAGCAGCATTTTTTAAAAATCTTTGAATCCTACCTGGTACTAGAGATGCTATGCAATGTGCCAGCAATAGATCGTACTGTCTCGACGTCCCCAGATGAGTCCATTACCCTCACAAGGGAAACCATCAATGGACCAGAATTTGCAACAGCATGACGACTTGCTTCTTTCTTTGATAATGCATGCACCATTGACACAGCTTGCCCAACAACAGTCTACAGCAAAACATAACAAAATTAGACATGTTTATGCTCCCTTCTCCAGAACCTGAAATAATGGTCAGGCATCTGACATTTTCCGACCAAATTACACCTTTTCCAACCAAATGCTAATCACAATTTGCCAGTAAACATTCTTGCCCAACCTTTTTGGTCGAACACCTAGCTTCTACCTATTTCAATGTTCTTATTTAAATTAATGGCCACTACTTAAACTTGCTTGATGGCACACAAGACAATGGTACAAAGTTGAGATTGTCATTGACTTAAGATGCAATGCCCCTGTCCAACATCAGATGATTTTACTCATCAACGAGAAATTGCTGCCACTCAATGGGTTGATTAGACTATCTGCCCATGTGCCTTGTTATTTTACCCTGTCCAATACCAAATGATTTCACTCATCAAGGGGAAAGTGCTATCACTCAATGGATTTATTAATAGAATCACAGTTCATGTACATTCAAGAAAATCTAGGAAGTGTCTCTTTACATATGGTACCAAATTTTCTTCTTCATTCTACCATAAAACTAGCATATGGGGTGCAAGAATGATGTTGAATTTATTTGTATAAATGAATAACAAAAGAAATTCTTACTGGGTCATTATCATTCAACAATCGGGTCAATTCAGGAATGGCTCTTGTTGCCACATCTGCATCATCCTATACAACAAACATTAAGAATGAACATCATGTTATATGCAATTACAAAATCCAGAATGATCATGGTTAATTTTGTAACAAATGTCAGAAATGGATGACACATAATGAAGAAAGGAATTTTTCTAGGAGTATTTTGGAACAAATGAATTATAGGTCAACATACCTGGTAGTTGATCAGATCTACAACAGCATTTTTCACCATTTGCGATGGCTGGGATAATCGTTGGACAGCAGTGTTCGCAGTGGGATCCATCTGCGGGATGGGTACGTTAGATCCTTCATCCATAGGCATCTCTGGGAACATGGCTTGACGAATCCTCATACTTGGGGGAAAAACAAACAAGTTAAAAGATGTATATTACAGTAATGCTAAATTAAAGTATTACTTAATTTAAAGTTTGACTAACCACAAATATGATTTTTGGTATGTGTAATATTTGGATCATTTGAAGAGGAAATGAAATATATCTTTATAATAAAAAATCCCATCTTGATCAACTTTTTCACTGTCAAAGTTTTGGTGAATATTTGCAAATTAGTTTTCCTTTGTTTTCTGTACCAAAGATTCACCTAATGACATCATATCAGGAAAGTTTGACAGGGAAAAAGTTGATCAAGATGAGGTTTTTTACTATAAAGATACATTATATTTATTCTTAGAATGACCCAAATATCACACATACAAAAAATCACATTTGGGGTTAGTCCCACTTTAGGAAATGCTGGCATCCAAATAGATATGGAGAAAATTAATTATCCTGATGTATCAATTGTACTAACCTTCTGGAGGTGGTAAACTGTTCGTTCATATCCGCTATTCCATGCGAGCTGAACTCCTGGTCAAGTGTCGACAGCAGGTTTTCTTCATCCCCATGCATTGAAGGCGGGGCAGTGTTGTGCTCGCTGTTGATACCCGAGTCAACATTGTAGCCATGTTGTTGTCCATACCACATCGCATTCTGTCCTTCTTTGCTCATTTGCTGACCATATTGCATGTGGCCGCCTTGCTGCATGTGGCCGCCTTGCTGCATGTAGTTCGACATCTTTCACCTGGGTTTAGAAAATGCTTTGATAAGTCTTCACACTAGATTAGAATTTCTATAGTGCAAATTTTTATGTGGATATGACTTATATGCACTTTACATCAAGTATTACGCTTACCTAATTTCATACTTAGCCTGGACTATTTTATCTCTTACAACAATTGTGATATTACTTTCTTAAAGTGGAAGTCAAGTCCGTTCTGCTCATAAGGCCAATGAAAATTGATATCATGTTTCTCATCCCCGCCTGCATGGGATTTATCTGCCGCACGAAAATTTTTCATTACTACCATTTGCAAGCAACCGCAAAACCAAACTTTTTTCACGTTTGTTTACGTTGCAAACATACACGATGGGCGGGTCAAACGTGCATGTTGAAACGTAACAACAATTAGTTTGAACCGCGAAATAGTGACGTTTGACAAATCTCGCCCAAACGTCACTATTTTGCGGTTCAAACTAATTGTTGTTACGTTTCAACATGCACGTTTGACCCGCCCATTGTGTACGTTTGAAACGTAAACAAACGTGAAAAAAGTTTGGATTTTGCGGTCGCTTGCAAATGGTAGTATGCATTATTTTTGAAAAATAGGCTTAACAAAACACCAAATTGATCTCCAGATCAAAGTCTTATTGCTGCATTCCGCAAGCGCAACTCAAATTGTATCTTTCTAAAGATACTACTTGCCAGAATGCCTCTTATTTTTCATGTCAGCCCTGGTATGTGTAGAAATATACTGTAGTGTAGGACGTATTAAATTAAAATGATTATACACCGATTTACTTCAGATTTTTATGGGGGTTTTTACTGGGTCAAGGAAATTATTGACAAGCAGAATTCAAATACAAAAAATAATGAAAAATGAAAAAATTCCCGCTCCAAACTTTTGAAAATTGTGGACGAGAAACATGATATCAATTTTCATTGTCCTAACAA